AAAGTCTTTTACATAGTCTTTCGTTATACGAATGGGCTCCATGGCATAGTTATCTGGGGTAACACTGCTCACATAGGGAAAGTACCGAATGACCCAGCTTTCCTGTCTTTGCAGGGGAAAATCAAGCATTTCAAGATGGGGCCAGAGCCACAGGGCAGGAGGCTGGCAATCAGTCTTCTCAAATGCCCAGTGGCGAGGCTGGTTCCACCACAGCGAGTACGGGCATTGGGGAGATTTTAATCCCCTTATGCTATTATGGGGGTCCTATTGACCCCCATAGAGTGAGGGAGGACATGGGGGGCTAAGGTAGAGGCGAGGAGCACTGCTCCCTGCCACTTCTATCTTTTCAAGGAGGGAGCTGCGTGCTGGTAGCTTCCTCCTTGTAATAAACTGAACGAACAAACGAACACTGAGTTTCAGTGTTAGTTTGTTCGTCTGATTTTTCTATTCATTTCATTCGGCTTTCATTCATTCGGGGGACATGGAGAGAGATGAAATTCCCGTTCGCATGTCCAAGTGTTTCACTGGGCATGTGAGGGAATCTCAGTGCTATCTCGTGTGGGCAGATGACGTGTCCCACAGGGACTTCATCTACCCACACAAAGATGGCAGCGCCCTGAATATAGGTCAGGCCAGAAAATAAAGAATAAAAAATAGGTAATATGCAAGGCTTAGGGGCATTTGGGGGTGACTAGGGGGTCAGTTAGATGTAGTGGAAGCGAGTTATAAAAAAAAAAAAAAAACGGGATTCGGGCCATGACAGTGCCGCTTTAATGTAATGCCTGGTAGATAAATACGGTAAGAGGTTCCAGTCGCCCCTATTGCCGGCCTATACGGTAAATACCATGTGAGTAATTAGTAACAGGAACATGTCCAGAAATGGATAAAAATCTCTGTCACTTTAATACCATCTCCTGATGGCACTACATTCATATATTGTTCAAGTAAAGCAGAATAAATCCCAGCAACTACACTGCTACCATGTAGCTGAGCAATGAAAAGGTTCTCCTGCTCTCTCATCCTGTCACTGTCACTCCAAGCTGGAGATGGGGAAAGGAAGTGACGTCACGGAGAAGGATCCGCCCGGCCGGCGCCATGATGGATGAGGGCAGTGTGGGCAACAGGCAGCCATTAGCGGATTGATTTCAGTCAGTTCGGGCACATTGTGCTGTATGAGAATTCCAATCCTTAATGTCAGTGTCCATTACCCATAATACTCCACGGGATGAAACAGGATCCGGCTTGCCCTCATCCATCATGGCGCCGCAATGCCTGACGTCACTTCCGCTTTCCCACTGCGTGACGTCATCCGGTGTGCGCCCAGTGCAGAGCTGGCTGAGTGTGAGTGAGCGGAGGGTGAGTCCGGGGAGGAGGAGGAGAGGGAGAGAACATGGAGATAGAGAGAGAGAGAACATGGAGAGAGGACATGGAGAGAGAGAGAGGGAGAGAGAGAGAGGGAACATGGAGAGAGAGAGGGAGCATGGGAGAGAGAGAGAAGGGAACATGGAGAGAGAGAGGGGGAACATGGAGAGAGAGAGAGAGGGGACATGGAGAGAGAGAGTGAGGGAACATGGAGAGAGAGAGTGAGGGAACATGGAGAGAGAGAGAGGGGGAACATGGAGAGAGAGAGAGGGGGAACATGGAGAGAGAGAGAGGACATGGAGAGAGAGAGAGGGGAACATGGAGAGAGAGAGGGGAACATGGAGAGGGGGACATGGAGAGAGAGAGAGGGGGACATGGAGAGAGAGAGAGGGGGACATGGAGAGAGAGAGAGGGGGGAACATGGAGAGAGAGAGAGGGGGGGGGGACATGGAGAGAGAGATACTTTGTGCCTCCAGCTCCCAGGCTGTCCTGTATAATGAGATACTTTGTGCCTCCAGCTCCCAGGCTGTCCTGTATAATGAGATACTTTGTGCCTCCAGCTCCCAGGCTGTCCTGTATAATGAGATACTTTGTGCCTCCAGCTCCCAGGCTGTCCTGTATAATGAGATACTTTGTAATGTTTCCCTCAGATCTCTCCCACCAGCAGCAGCAGGAGATCAGCACAGCTCAGTCCATCCCTTCCATTTGGATTTCCCGCTTTGCTGCTTCCTGTAGCTCCCTGTACCATGTGACCAAGCAGTCACATGGTCTGGTGATGTCACCAGGGTCCTTCTACTGGATAGGAACTGACTGCTACCGTGCACTCAGTGCAGAGCTGGCTGCTGGGAGCGGAGGGTGAGTCCGGGGTTCATTGTGTTTATTGGGATATTCCTGGATCCAGAGCAATAATAATATCACTAATCAGTCAATTACATTAACATGGGGAGAGAGAGAGAGAGAGAGAGAGAGAGGGGGGAACATGGAGAGAGAGAGAGGGGGGAACATGGAGAGAGAGAGAGGGGGGAACATGGAGAGATGGAGAGAGAGGGGGAACATGGAGAAAGAGGGGGAACATGGAGAGAGATAGGGGGGAACATGGAGAGAGAGAGAGGGGGGACATGGAGAGAGGGTAACATTGAGGGAGAGAGAGGGGGACATGGAGAGAGAGGGGAAACATGGAGGGAGGGAGAGGGGGGGGAACATGGAGAGAGAGAGAGAGGGGGAACATGGAGAGAGAGGGAGGAACATGGAGAGAGAGGGGGGACATGGAGAGAGAGGGAGGAAGGGGAACATGGAGAGGGAGAGAATGAGAGGGGGGAACATGGAGAGAGAGGGAGGGGAACATGGAGAGGGAGAGAGAGGGGAACATGGAGAGAGAGAGGGGAACATGGAGAGAGAGAGGGGAACATGGAGAGAGAGAGAGAGGGGGGGGACATGGAGGGAGAGAGAGGGGACATGGAGGGACATGGAGAGGGAGAGGAGGAAGGGGGGGACATGGAGAGGGAGAGGAGGAAGGCACAAACCGATCCATTCGTGCAATTTGAACTTTATGTGAATGGAAAGATAGACCGACCGCACAGCATGAATCTGTGGAACTGTTTCAGGCATACAAACAGGTGTACGGTTGGTCCATAGAGACTTTCCCCCATCTCCCGAACCCCTGCACGGATTTGTGATTTTTACATATGTTGCTCCCCAAGTTATGCTGATTATAAAAATGTTTTATTCATATACAATGCAAAATCAGGAAGTTATATAGATGTCTAAAAAGTATGTTTTTTTTTTTTCAGCTTGGAGATAATTGAGTGGATACAGTAAGTAACTTGATTATCTCCCAAGCACAGGGGAGGGGATATGTGGAATGTAACCATTGTTTGATTGGCTAATGTATAATTGTCTGTGGGTGTCTCCCTTGCATGGGAAAACTACATAAAATGAGACTATTTGCCTTTAAACCTTCAGTTCTGTTTCACCCTCAATCTAGAGTTTTGTCTGTTATTGGGGTAACAGCTATACAGCTATCACACTAGCTCTTGTAAAAGCTTCACTTGGATCACTACTGCATGCTGAGAGTCATCCTCACTGATCGGAACAGTAATTAACACTCCCACATACAGTCAACAATCCCTCCCCTCTGCCTGTGATATAATTAAGCCAGCTAATGGAATAAACTAATTATTCAAAGGCCGAAAATATCAATTTTACCTCAAAGTCCAGAAACACCTAAAACACCTTTTATGTTTTGGTGGTCTACAGTTCTCCCATACTCCTAGACTTGACTGTAAAGGAGGTGGTGTAGGTATCCTTATCTCCCCTCAATGTACCTTTCAACCTATCCTCCCTGCCCCTGCCCTATCCTTTACTTCCTTTGAAGTTCACACTGTACGCTTTTTTAAGCCCACTCCTTTAAAAATTGCCATCATCTATCGCCCCCGCGGTCACCCTAAACTATTCATTGAACACTTTTCCTCCTGGTTACCCCACTTTCTTTCCTCTAGCACTCCCTCTCTCATACTTGGGGACTTCAATATCCCTATCAACAAACTCAATTGCCCTGATGCCTCTCGTCTGCTCTCTGTAACCTCCTCCTTTGGACTCACACAGATTTCTTCCTCAGCAACTCACACTGCAGGAAACACTCTTGACCTCATCTTCACCATCTCTGTACCACCTCTGATCTCGCCACTGCTCCATTTCCTTTGTCTGACCACCATCTGCTAACATTTAACATCTGCATACCCCATACCAAAATCACACCACCATCCACTCTCCAATCTCGCAGAAACCTCAACTCTCTCGATCTCCAGCACTTCTCCACCAAACTCCAAACACTCCTTTTACCCATCTCAAATCACAACTGCCCTAACTCTGCAACCTCACTCTACAACTCCTCTCTCTCCTCTCAACTTGACATCATGGCACCTCCTACAGTTAAACGCAGCAAGCGCCCCCAACTACAACCCTGGCACACCAAGCTGACCCGTTACCTCCAAAAATGTTCCAGAACTGCTGAACGCTGCTGGAGAAAGTCTCACTTTGCATCTGACTTTGTCCACTATAAATTTATGCTGCGCTCCTACAGCATGGCTCTTTCCTCTGCAAAAGTAAGCTACTTCAACACCCTCATAAGCACACTGTCCCACCAACCCAAACACCTGTTTCACACTTTTGATGCACTTCTTCGCCCTGTGACTCCCCCTCCTTCCACCACCTTGTCCGCCACAAACTTTGCATCTCATTTCACTGAGAAGATCTCTACAATCAGGAAAGAGATCTCTAATCTTTCTCCAACCAGTATCAATACATCACCCAACCCCACTCCCCCTGCCATCTTTTGCACCTGCTACAGCACAAGAAGTTTCTGCTCTGCTCCTGTCCTCCCGCTCCACCACCTGCTCCCTCGATCCTATTCCCTCGCATCTCATTCGCATTTTGTCTCCCTCTCTTGCTCTTCCTCTCGCTAACATTTTCAATCTCTCCCTTTCCTCTGGCACATTTCCCTCTGCTTTCAAACATGCAACCGTAACCCCAATTGTGAAAAATCCCAACTTTGATCCCAACTCCCCATCCAACTACCGCCCTATCTCGCTACTGCCATTTGCCTCCAAGATCCTCGAGAGAGTTGTCTACGCCAGATTGACAGACTTTCTTGAATCCAACTCTCTGCTTGACCCCCTTCAGTCTGGATTCCACGCTGGTCACTCTGTCGAAACTGCTGTGACCAAAGTATCCAACGATTTAATCGCGGCCAATACTCTATCCTAATCCTCCTTGATCTTTCTGCCGCCTTTGACACTGTTGATCATCAACAGCTTCTTCACATTCTCTGTAACTTTGGTCTACGGGATTCTGCTCTCTCCTGGTGCTCCTTCAGTGTTTCTTTCTCTGGCTCTGCCTCTTCTCCCCAACCCCTCCCTGTCGGCGTCCCCCAAGGTTCTGTCCTCGGCCCCCTACTGTTCTCTATCTATACTGCCTCCCTTGTGTAACGGACCGTTTTGCACAAAAAGGGAAAAAAACGCTTAGACGATAATCCCCTTTCAGAGACAGGCACAGCTACTGTAGAATCACCAAAACTCACGAACTGAATACAAGTGAATGCTCCAAACTCCCGAACGGCATACAAGGGAATGCTCCAAACACTCGAACTGCATGCAAGGGAATGGTCCAAACACTCGAACTGCATACAAGTGAATGCTCCAAACTCCCGAACGGCATACAAGGGAATAAGGTAGCACTCCAAATACACGAACAGGAACCATACGAATTGCTGCTACCAGGCGAACAGGAAAAGCTCCCAAGCGGCTTACACTCCTGGCAATCAGTCCTTAGCAGCATACAGTAAATCCCCCCAAAGACGAGACAAGGCTCCGTGTTGAGGGTCAAGCAGTGGTCTGTGAGGTGCTGGCACACCAGCCTGGTTTTATTACAGTCTTGCAAATACAGGACCCATACAAGGGGTATAAAACAACCAATCACATCACAGTTACATCCCACATATTCCCTCCTTATCCTGAGAGGAAACTCAATTATACATACAGTTAAAACATACTTTCTACCCAACTTTCATAACTCCAAAACCATACATCACATTCACATAAAATTACATATTCACAATCAAACCATTCAGGGGAACAACATATTCAAAAATGGCACAAATCAGACAAGGGGTTCAAAAGTTAGTAAAAAGTCTTTTGTGACTAAATGAAGCATGGCTTTCTGGCCCAAACCAGTTTCAGAGTCTTCTATCCTGGAGATAAGTAATTCAATTATCTCCCAGGACAGACACAAGACTCCATTAAGCACATGGTTGCAAAAGACACAAAACACTTTAAAATACATAAAGTCACATTTTACACATAACACCCAGACATTTCACATATCCCCAGATAGCTCAGGTCTGAGCGCACATTATTAAGTGAATGGCGCTCAGACCACACGAATACAGTTTAATCGCCATGGAGCCAAAGTCTTTACAGTCAGTTTCATACAAATGGGCTCCATGGGATTCCTATCTGGGGTATAACACATTCAAACAAATCTACCGAACCCCAGGCAGAAAAGCACGAATAAAGCTTTTCTGCAGGTAAAAAGATGTCTTTTAACAGGGGGCCATAGTCCAAAGGCAGCAGGCGAGCAACCAGGCTTCTCCAATGCAATGTGGCGAGATTGGTCTCGTCACATCTCTCCCCTTTTCCAAACAGACTAACAGGGTATCTGACCTCCTGCCGGTCAGTGCCCTTGTTAGTCCAGCAGCCCACCCACAAAACATAATCAACAGCACAGCCCACCCACAATAAATGGTTACTACACCTGGGTAAAGGAGAAGCTTGTCCATGTCCAGGTGCCTCACCACGGCTGTGCTGGGTACGGGTACGCTGACTGGGTGGGTTGCTGCATGGGCAGAGACCAGCGGCACTCTGCCCTGTTATGCCAGCGCTACTGGGAGAGGTAGCCTGGTTGAAGCCTGGTTGTTGGAGGGGGAGACCGACTGTCTCCCCTTTAATACACAGCTCTGCTGCTGGAGACCGACTGTCTCCCCTTTTGTTGCACAGCTCTGCTGCCGGAGGGGGAGGCCGACTGTCTCCCCTTTGGATACTCTAAGCTGTCGCTGGGGAGAGGGGGTAACAGGCTCCTCTCCCGATAGAACACTCTGCCGCTGGGGAAAGGAGACTGCGCTCTCTATTCCCTGCCCATTAATGACCCGCCGCTGGGGAGAGGTGGTAGCAAGCTCCTCTTCCATACATACTTTCATCCTCTGTGGAGGGAGACCGACTGTCTCCGCTCCAAATGCAGAGTCCTGCTGCTGGGGACTGGAGACTGGGCTCCCAATTCCCAACAAATAACACTGCCGCTGGGGAATGGAGACTGGGCTCCCAATTCCCAGAAAATCACGCTGCCGCTGGGGAGGGAGGACACTGCTCTCCTCTCCCTGGACTTCACACTGCCTTCCCGGCATATCACTTGGCTGCTGGGGGGCAGGATCAACTACCTCTGCCCCCTGTAACTCAGCCTGCCGCTGGGGAGGGAGGACACTGCTCTCCTCTCCCTGTACTTCACACTGCCTTCCCGGCATATCACTCTGCTGCTGGGGGGCAGGAACAACTACCTCTGCCCCCTGTAACTCAGCCTGCCACTGGGGAGGGAGGACGCTGCTCTCCTCTCCCTGCACTTTACACTGCCGCTGGGGAATGGAGACTGGGCTCCCAATTCCCAATAAATCACACGGCCGCTGGGGAATGGAGACTGGGCTCCCAATTCCCTGCAGGACCGGTTGAGAGACCTCGGTCCCATCTCTACCGGCCACCTGGGGTTCTTCCCAGAAAATATCAACAATGTCTTCCCAGCTGAATGGGTCTGGAATTGGATCTGTCACCTTGCTGTCCTGCTGAATCTTCTCAATGGAGTGGAAGAGATCTCGGTATTCCTGCTCCAGTTCCCACTCCAGGGTTGCTAGGTGAGCCAGGTCTTGCTCAATGTCGTGAGTGTCGTCCCAGTCATACCTGCTCTCCCTCCACTCCAAGAGATCACTGAACCGGGCTTGTATAGGGCTCCCAAATTCAGGCTCTGAAAAAGCCTCCCATAACAAGCCAGGACCATTAAACTCCTCTCCCTCTGGCTTGTCATGCTCGGCTGTCCAGGGCAGGTACTGTGCCCCATACCACCAGAGCGCCTGGTAGGCATCTTCCAGCCAAATCTCCGGCCATACCCGGTGCTCCAATTCCTTCACCCATTCATCCAGGGGCTGCTCTCCCAGGAAGGCCATCCGCAGGGCCACTTGCTTCTGCAACCGCTGCTCTTCACTGGGGAGACTCTCGCCCCGCTGGTATTGTACAATATCCAGGGCCTGGTACCAGATGCCTTTCCTTAATGCATCCCGGCCATCCAGGTCCTCCTCTTCGTATGACACTGCTGGTTCCATTCTGTTGCTGTCAGGGTCGCTGTACTCAGACATGCGTTGCCCTTAAATTGTAAATCCACGGAATGGTGTTGCCTGTAGCTGTCCTGTAGTCTGTGGGAACGATCCCGCCGCTTGCCACCAATTGTAACGGACCGTTTTGCACAAAAGGGGAAAAAACCGCTTAGACGATAATCCCCTTTTCAGAGACAGGCACAGCTACTGTAGAATCACCAAAACTCACGAACTGAATACAAGTGAATGCTCCAAACTCCCGAACGGCATACAAGGGAATGCTCCAAACACTCGAACTGCATACAAGTGAATGCACCAAACTCCCGAACGGCATACAAGGGAATGCTCCAAACACTCGACCTGCATACAAGGGAATGGTC